AGCAGTCTCCGACAACATGGATGTTCACAACAACAACAAAAGTATCAAAGTCCATTTTTGAGACACAGAATTCAGTACTGAGTAGGAAATTTAGGGAAATATTTGAAGTACAGAATAGTTCTCCAGATAAGATAGAATGGTCCATTTTGGAAAAGAAAGAATGGGATATTTTTTAATGCGGCAGTAAGTAAATCAGGGATCACTTATATTTGAGAGTCTTGGGTTACTTGCCACTTGTGGCATTATGAAATATTACCTATCAATTCTGTCAATCAATTTTCTCAATTATAAAATGAAATCATGTGTATGGAATATTTAAGATAGGACGTAATGTGCAGAGTTGTTGAAGTGATAATAAATTTTTAGCTATCAGTACTATTTATTATGTACTTCCAATGTTTGCTTTTGTTTAGTTGAGGAGGTATTGAAAATCTTGTGTGGTGGTCCCAGTGTGGCCCAGAAAACATGATTTAAAGTTTTTATTCTTTGTCCTTCCCACCCAGTCATATGAGAATTAGTTTATTAATGACATACTAATAGATATAATAAAATTGGGCAAAACTATGCTTTGAGTGCTAATTTGCAACTGGAAATTAGTGAAATGACATTGTAGGTCCTGGACACACAGGTTCACACTACACTTAAACAAGTTACAGTCAGTTATGAGGACCAATGGAAGAAACTCTCAGATATTCCAACATGTGAGTTGTAAGTAGAGAAGAAGAATCCAGGGAAAAGAATAGAGGAAGGAATGAAAGGAAGAGCCATAATTGCGACAATCAAGATAGAAGTCAGGAAAAAGGGGACTCAGTAATTCTGGATGTTCTAAGAAACTCAAATAAGTAGAAACAAAGAGTCTTTATGTTTGACAGCAAGTAATCCATGAGTGGTCTTAAGGAAAGAAGAATATAGGTAGTTCAGAAATGAAGAGGTAGAGATAAATATAGTGGCTTTTATCTTTAAAGCCTGCTTTAGAGATGCTATGGTTAGAGAATCATATAATTCTGTTCTGCTCAGGCTATGTAATAAGAGACTATTTTTAAAAACCCAAAACTACAAGCAAAAATAAATAAAAAAATAAAAATGATCATATAAAACCAATTAGCATGGTAAATCCTTTGCAGAATTGGCTTCAACTAGAAAGAAGAAAAGCAGAAGTGTCTGAAGGAAAATGGCAACAAAGACCCATGAAAAGTAATAAGCACCACAATAGGAATGAATGCTGATAGATCCTTCTGAGGCAGGAAAAAGCTAGTTCTTAAATAAGACAGAAGGATAAACTTAAGGAAGTAGAGGTCACTGTCTTATATATTCTTTATTAAAAAAATGAAGTAATTAGTTAGGCATTTTAGAGTCTTGACTAATATGAATGAACTTGAAATAGTCATTTTGGCAAATGAATAGAAACATGATTCAGGATGAGAAAGAACACTAATTAACTAAGCTCAGACCCACTTGAAGTTTGAAAAATCACCCAGAAGACCCTAGTCATTACATGAGACAGCTATAGCCCAAGTTAATTCTGAATATTGCACATGGTGATTAACAGACCTAAGAAACTGATTGTGCAATTAGGGGTGATGCTAGTCATACTAGAATCCAAAGAGTTAGCTCTATTGCTCTCATCATCCTGTGATTCATCAACTTTTTCTTTCATTTTCACTCATCAGTTTCTACAGGTTGGAAAAGCCTTAGTCTAGCTGAGTAGACAGTATTTTCTATTACAATAAGTCACTGTGTCTGCATTTTATCCTTGAATTCTATGCTATCCTGGCTTGAGAACTCACTAAGGCCAGTATTCCTAAGTGGTCTGTGAAATATCTGAAGCCTGGCAGTAGAGAGCCCCATATCTCTCTGTGTGACCCAAGAAGAACTCTTCTGCAACCATAGATATGCTTAAAGGAGGCTGGACTTGTCTATCCTCCTGTTAGGTATGTCAGACATGTTCTAGCAACACTTCAACTAGGATTATACTCTTTGGCCTTATGAAGTAACTTCTGCCCAAGATAAAAGGAGGATTTGGGGGATCCCCAAGAAGTGAAGTGACCCAACTCAGTTTTCACTGCCGTTAGAAAGGAATAGATGCCATATAGAGGACAGAGTTGGGAGCCTTACTTTAGCCTAGTGCCACACTGTACCTCAGGTACTTGGAGCTAGTGCTGGAGAAAAGCTCATTTATCCATTGGAATCAAAAATGCAGGGGCAGTTCTTTATATTAGGGTATTCTTGAAAATTCCTTTTGAAAACATTTCGATGGAGAGCTAGAAGAAGTGATGGATGAAATCATAATAATGGCTGGGAATAGAACCATGGTGATGGCTGGTGGAGAAATTTCTAAGCTGTGAAAGCACAAGTCCAAAGACCAGTCTTTAGCATGTCAAATTTTAGGAGAAGCCAAAGACACTGAAATGGTTGACCATAGTAAGGAAGGCGATTGGTAGGAGATGAGATCAAATACATAAGACACATTGGTGGCAGTCAGATGGAGTAGAGTATTTTATAAGCTATTGAAAACCATAATTAATAATTCGGTTTTTACTATTAATAAGATAATCCATAGCATGGCTTGAAAATATTTAGACTTATTAATATTTTAAAGGGTTACTCTGGTTACTAAGCTGAGAATTGACTCGGGTGAGGGAATTACAAAATCAAGGAGAAAACATGGCTGGTTACCAGAACAGTTGAAGTAAAGATGCTGAATTGTGGAATTTAGAATGTATTTTAGAGTCAGAAAGTGCTAGTGAATTATATGTGACATTTAAAAAATAATTTAAAAATTATTCCATTATTTTTGGTCCTATAGGTTAAATATAGGTTCCATAGGATAAATATTTGGTCCCATAGGATAAAAATATTAATCTAATCAATTATAATGTATGAAAGAATCCCTACCGATTTCTCAGTGAATATCAACAAATTATTTTATTATTGACCAAGTTACAGATGGAGGCAGAGTTGCTTAGAGACATTTTGCAAGTATTACAACAATAACTGTGCACTCTGAAGTTTTTCTGCAACTTTTTTTTCAGTTGCCTTTGTAACTTTTCTTTCAGGTGCCTTTCAGACATGATCGTGAAGTACTAGGATTCACTTTGACTGCAAAATGTAATTGTTAGGGGCAAGGCAACACAATTTACAAGATTACAGATTGCTTTAGTTTACTACATCTGAAATGTCTAGCAAGTGTCTATTTGTCTATGGCTTGGACAATGTCCCATTGTACTTCTAGAAAATGCTAAAGCTTTTAAGAAGTGAGGTCAGTGGGAGAAATTTTGGTAACTAGGGGTATGTCTTTGCAGAAGAAAGTGAGACCCAGATTATTTGAAAAGTCTCTCTTTTGAATTCTGATCATCATGTAAACAGTTTTGTGCCACTTTGATAAGCTAAGTTGTCACAGAGCAAAAAATAACAGGGACAGCCAACCATGGACGTAAATCTCCAAAACTATGAGCCCAAACAAGCCTTTTTTCTTCAAAAACTGATCGATATTGTTATGGAATGCTGGCTAATGCAAAATGAGTTGTTAATGTTGCTTCTGTCCATCGTCTAGACCTTTACTATTTAATGTATTGTTATAACTCAGAAGCAACTGCGTCAAATGGGAATGTCGACAGAAAGCTAGTCTCGGCCTCATAGCAGTGCTTCTAAGGCAGAATCTATGTGTTGTCAGAAAGTGTATGTAACTGCATGTGAACACAAGCATGTGGGAAGACCCACTGTAGAATTTCAAGGCTTTCAAGAATAAGAATCTGTTCAAGTTTAAAATGCCAAAAGCAAGATTGAGAAAGATAATATGATTTTACACATGAATTTGGCTTGGGCAAGGGTCCTAATGCCCAGATCAAAATTCGTTTCATTACAATAAGGTCTCAAGACTCAATTAGTTCAGGCACTATCATTTGAAGAAGATGGAGAAAATCAGAGGACCCCTCTTTTAGAAAAAAGTTGCCCTTTTTGGAAGGAAAGGCCGATTATTCCTCTATTGGTCCCTCCTCTTTATTAAAGACAAAATTAGCTATGTAGGGTAATAATTTTCACTTTAATTTCAGAGATGATATCATATTGTCCCAAAAGTGTATGTATTTATTTTTTATGTCCAGTATACACTTGTATGCAACTACATTCTAGACATTATTCTACTCCAATTCTGATCATTTCCTCCAAATGATTTTCAGCATCTGATACTTGATTATGAATTCCTGTTTATGGCCTCTACCCAGGCCAGGTGAGGTATCTCAAGACAAATTTGAGATTTGGTCAAGACACATGCCCTCCTCTATACCTTGGCTCAAGCTTCCACTTCTTCCTATCTATAATGCATTCTAGGACATCCCCTATAGTGTGGTCTGTGAAATCCCAAGACTCTCAGAAAGTATCATTTTTGGCAGAGCCCTTAGAGATACTATGTATATGACACGAGTGTGTTTGTGTGTATGTGTGTGTGTGTGTTTGTACCATATATGTATGTGTAGTGAGACCCAGAGACCCGTCAGAAGTAACAGGATGTCTTAAAATTAGAGTGAAGTGTTAGAATCCAATTTTTCTTCATTTTTTTTTTTTGTGGTCTTTCCCCAATTTCAGGTTTCCTGGTAAAAATCTTAATCTTCTGAGAGTACTAATATAAAACTGCAAAGCCAGAGCTGGGAAGTGGCTTTTCCTTGTGTCAGAGAATCGTAACTGTCCCAACATTTGGTTTCTCTGGAACTCCAAGCCTGCTAAGTCATGCACAGAACTTTGAAAAACTGAGCTGCATTTAGCTGCCTCCGCCCTTCCTGCCCACAGATTCAGTTAGATCCAACTCTAGGCCCTTCCCCCGTCATGCCCCAGCTTCAGTTCCTGGAGCTTTAATAACTCTTGCCATACTTGTGGCTTGGCCATTGTTTACCAGCCAGACTCGCAGCGGTCTTTCAGGGGCGGGGTTTATTTGCATAACCACTCCCAGACACATCAAATAGTCCAATAGTTGTCCCGCAGGCCTCACAGAGGAGAGGAGGGGTGTAGGCATAACATGAAAGAGAGGATGGATTTGATCTGTTGTTGCCACACGTGAAAGTGAAATGAATCCAGCAGAACACTGGTTGCAACGGATTTCGCCTATTGTGAGAGCGGTATGCAGGCTGGGGGCTGAGGGGCGGCTATTGGGCAGGATGTCTGTTCTGTACTCTAATGTGTTTGCTCAGGGAGTCTCTATGTATGATCCATTCATTGATCTTTACAGGTTAAGTGTGGGAACACTCTTTCATTTGGTAACTAACTAGGGATGGAAATAGAGGACCATTTCAGATATCCCTGTAAGGGTGCTACAAAGTCAGCCTGACTTGGGGAAAAGTATTCTCTAATCAGTCATCTCATCGTTTGAGCCCTGAGAGCACTCTCTGAGATGTCAGAAACTTAGGCTGTTATCCCTACAGCCTTGACTAGTCAGTTCCTGACTGTGCAGGTTCGAACTGAAGCCAGATGGCCGCTGGGAATATGCCCGGACTTGTCCAACAACCTTGTGCGTCTGGGATCCAGAGATGAGGAAGAGAGAGGAGGAGGGAATGGATTGGATATTCAGAGCATCCTGCAGAAAGCTGAACTACTTAGCCCACCCACGTGGTGCTTGGGCAAGTCCGGGCCTGTGTAAAGAGCAATTTGGCACTGTGTATGGGGGCTTTCAATCCAGCCTTGTCACCAGTGACTGAGTTACATTTGATCACTTGCTGCTGGAAGCCAAGCCCAGGACAGTGATATTTTGATCCGACCTCACCCCAAACACTGGCCAAGACCCAGACAGCTGCAAGAACTGGCAGGGTGCAGGAAGAAGAAGAGACCTGCCAGAGACTAGGCTGGGAAAACAGGCTGGAGGATCTCATTTTGACAGGTTTTGGCGGGGATGGCCAGTATCATGTAGGGCAATGGGAGGTAGTAAATTGTGGAACTGTTTAGGTAACTCTCCTGTTCCCTTCACATTTAATAAACATAAAATGCATGCTGAATATCTACCTTCTATCACCAAGTTTGAATCACTAAACTGTCTACAATAGAGAGGCTGCATCCCCTAGAACTTAACAGACTCATCCTGAGTGGAGGAACACAAATAATTCTGTACAAGGTGAATTTTAAAAGTTCAGTCAAAATGCTCTCAAGTAGTCAAGGACCACATCAACTAAAGCCAGAGAAAAACAGAAAAGCTGCGCTTGCTCTCTCTCTCTTGCTTTTTTTTTTTTTTTGTATTTTTGGGTGTTTTGTTTTGAGTGGAACTTGTTCTGGGTATCTTTAGGACCTGATAGTGTCCCAGGTAGGATAAGGCTGGACTAAATGAAACTCTATCCTCCTGCTTCCAACTCCTAAATGCTATAAGCACAGGTATGTGTTCATTATGCCCCACTGATTGCTTTTCAGTCCTAACACCTTTGGGTGCTAGAGAGCAATACTATTTGTATTCAGATCTCATGTCACCAAATAGCAACTGTGTGACCTTGATTGAAAGGCATAAAAGGGACCTGAGATTCATTTTACTCTGGGTAAAAGTTAACAGCGCCAACATTGAGTTATTGTGATGAACTGAATTAATCCATGTGAAATGCTTGTACATGCTTAGCATGGCTCAAAATAAGCACTCAATAAATTTTAACCATTATTATTGAAGGTAGATTATGTAGTGCAGATAGGGTTTCACAGGTGGAAAAAAGGAGAGGAGGCATTTGAAGTAGAGAGAACATGAACAACTGCTTGATGGCAAGGAACTCAGAACATGTGAAAGGAACAATAGTCAAAGTGGATGCTTTCGTAAATTGGGAAAGAGTACCAGTTAGATTGGTGGGAAACCACTCAAGACTTTGGATACTTGAGTTTCTGTTTATTTGACAGAGCATTGTACCGCCACCGTGGGTTTCTGAACTGAAGAAAAGGTCAGGTCGGCACTTTAGGAAGAATAATTAGGTAAAGGTGAATCAGCTGGGCAAGAATAAGAACACACAAAAGTGAACAAATGAAAACTGATGTGGTGGCCAAGAGCACAGAAAGAAGGCAATATATGTATCAAGTAACACAAACTTTGAAATCTCTTCAGAGATTTGAAATGATGAATTACATGAGATTTGAAAAGGGAAGGATGGAGTTTATCTGTTAGGGTTAACTTACACTTTGAAACAGTACACATTTTCATCCTACCTTTCTAGAGAGTACAATTTAGAACCTGTTGTTGGGAATACTAAATGCATTCATTGTATATTCAATATTTCCACTATGCATCAGTACTAACTGGTTTTATGCAGTAAAGAGATTTTTCTTCTGTCCACGATAGAATCATGAGGAAACCCAGGAAAAAAATCCAAACTTCCCTATGTTTCTGTTTTTCTAAAAAATGAGAAATAGTTCCCACTGGTTGGAAGGATTAAAAATGATAATTTTCCAAAGGATCTATCCCAATGCTTGAAGAATAGTAGGCTTTTGTGAGTCATATGCTTCTTTTCTAACATTTGACTTCAACTTTAAACATCCATCTCATCTCTGACAGCACTTCTAGAGGAAAAGTCTTCGCTGTTCTCTATAAGAACCCATTATCTGGCTGTGGGGAAATCCTTGACAGCTGAAAGTTTTTCCCCTGGTTCAGCTGCATTCTCTTTGGCCTCTGATGTGTATTCAGTTGTTCATGTGGTGCTTTCTGGGGATACTTACCACACCTCCTTTCTCTCTTCTGAAAGGTAGGAGCTCTGAAGACCAGAGACCAAATTTCCCTCCATATTCTATCCCCTGGGAAATCAGCTGGGTTTCTTCCATTTCTCATGTGACATGGTATTAGTTAAAATATGAGTCTGCAGTTTTGAATTATACAAAAATGGAGTGGCAGCACCTTAAGAGATGTGTCAATAACTGCAAAAGAAACATGATAGAAGAATGTGACAAATTTCTTTATAATGTATTATTCCTTTTAATTCTTTAATTGCATCATTTCTTCACTAGAATATGCTTAGAGAAAATGAAACTTGCTGGTGATCATTTGGACTGTGTGTGCAGTTTGGTAACTGCAAGCCACAGTTTTCTTCTAATTCACGTTTTTCCTTTTTTTTGGTAACAGCTGCTTGCATATAAGGTGTTGGCTAGATAGATTAATTCTGGCACTAGAGAGGAAGAGAAGAAAATAGCTATTCATCTGCCTTGTGTCAGCTACATTGTCTTTGAAATTTTTCAGGAAGAGGAACCAGGGGCCTAGAAACCTAAGGCAGGCCACATAGACTTCCTTTAGTTAGATGTCTTCTTGATCTGCTCCACTTGAATGCCTTATGCAGGGAGTAAGGCATATGTCATTATTGAGAGCTGAAGCTTTTGAAGCAGCAGCTATTTTTTTCTGTTTTCTTTAGAGAACTGGCTCTACCCATATATTCTGCCCTAAGATGCTTAATGGGAAGAGTACTGGTCAGTTTTATCATCAGTTTATATATGAGATGGACCATTATTATTAGAGACGTATGAGAGATGTGAGGATGGCTGTAGTCTGTCTTAGATTAGCATTAACTATATATTTTTTTCAGTGTTCCTCTAGACATGCTCTCTTGCAAATGATTAGCCTTCTTCATTCTGGTTTCGTGGTTTTCTCTTTTGTGACAAAGGCTAACAGAATTCCTAGTGTAGAAAATAATTATCAGCTGAGATTTTAGTGACCGACTATCCATTCTGAAGGATTTACAGTTATTCTGTACGAATCCCTAAGAACAACCTAGATGCCCTCAACTGAAGAATGGATAAAGAAAGTGTGGTACATATACAAAATGCAGTATTACTCAGCTGTAAAAACAGTGACGTCATGCAATTTTCAGGTAAATGGATGGAACTAGAAAAAAAATCATTCTGAGTGAGGTTACCCAGACCAAGAAAGACAAACACAGCATGTACTCACTCATAAGTGGATACTAGATGTAAATCAAAGGATAACTAGACCACAATCCACAGCTCCAGAGAAGCTAGGTTACAAGCAGCATCCTAAGAGGGACACATGGATCACCCTGGGAAGGGGAAATAGATGAGGTCTCCTGGGTAAACTGAGGGTGAGAGGTGGTAAGTGGGAGGTAATAAGAGATGAGAACATGAGGGAACAGGATGGTCCAGTTGGGGGAGGGATGGGGTGGAAGATCAAGGAAAGAGATATCTCCATAGAGAGAGCCATTATGAAGCTTCAGAGAAATGTGATGCTAGGGAAATTGTAACATGAGGGCCGGGCTTGTTGGGGTTTCTGTCCCATCCGGTCCCCCAACTGTTTAGTCTCAGAGAAAATCACACAGAGAGTCTACATTAGATATAAACTGTTTGGCCCTTAGCTCAAGCTTCTTATTAGCTCTTATAACTTATATAGCCCATTATTCTTATCTATGTTAGCCACATGGCTCAGTACCTTTTTCAGCAGGGTAGGTCACATCTTGCTTCTTAGGTGGTTGAGACAGGACTGGGGAGGAATGGGCTTCCTCCTTCCCAGCATTCTCCTGTTCTCCTCGCCCCACCTCTATTTCCTGTCTGGTTGACCTGCCTATACTTCCTGCCTGGCCAATCAGCGTTTATTTAAAGCATGATTGACAGAATACAGACAATTCTTCCAGACCAGGAAATTCCCAGGAAACCACAAGCAAGACCCCTAGCAATAGTGGAGAAGGTGCCTAAACTGGCCTTCCCTTGTAATAGACTGGTTACCTGTCATCATAGAAACTTCATCCAGTAACTGATGGAAGCAGATGTAGAGATCCACATCCAAGCACAAGGTCAAGCAACTGGAGTCCAGTTGAAGAGAGGGAGGAGAGATTATATATTCAAATGGAGAGGGTCAAGATCATGACAGGGAAACCCACAGAGACAATTAATCTGAACTGGAGCTTACAGACTCTAGACCTGCAGCTGGAGATTCTGCGTGAGACCTAACCAGGCCCTCTGCATATGAGCAACAGCTGTGTAGCCTGGTCTGTTCATGGTACCCCTGGCAGTGGGATCAAGTTCCATCCCTGATGCATGAGCTGGCTTTTTGGAGCCCATTCCCTAAGGTAGAATACAGGATGGAGGATCTTGGTCCTGCCTTAACTGAATGGGCCAGGCTTTGTTGACTCCCCATGGGAGATGTTACCCTTTCTGAGGAGTAGATGAGGGTGGGTTGGGGGAGGAGGGGGGAGGAAAGGAGGGAGGGAAAACTGTGCTTGGTATGTAAAAATGAATAAAATATAAAAAAGAAATAGCAACCCATCTAAAAAGTAAAGTGGTTTCCATGTAATATTATGATGGAATCAAACAATAAGGTGTCATTATTTCCAGGAGGTTGTTAGTCACTATTGTGATTAAGCCAAAAAGAGTGGGCAGTACTATTTCCCCTTCCATGAGCCGTCTTTCCCTGACCCACTATACCCTTTGGGATTTTTTCTTGTTGAGAGATTACAAAGCCAATATTATGTTTTGAAGAAAAGAGAAACTGGATCCTTGGTAACATAGTTAGTCAGCAGTCAGTCCTGAAGGTGGCCTGCCTCTTTGTTTATGGGAAATAGAGAAGGCATTGAGCCCTGGGTAGAGACTTACATTATAGTCTTAACAAACTATGTACATTTGAGGAAAATTGTATTTTTCCCCTCTGCAGCTCCAGTTTTCCTACTGGGGTCATAAAGGTTGAGGTTATCTTGATAGATTCCTGTGGCATTTCCTGCCTACATAGTCCCAATTAGTTGTATCTTAAATTTTAATCAGTTGTCAAAATGAAGAAAAAAAATAAACCATAATGAAAACATATTGTCTTGTGAGTACTGAGCTGCCTGTTACTATAGGAGTTCAAAGAGAGATGGATGATATTTTTCTCTGATCAATAAAAACAGAAAGATAACATGAGATTTTGTGTGAGATTTTTAAAATCTAAAATTATTTCTGTAAATTATTTCACAAATGCATAATTCTATATGAGATAATAGGTTTATTTTTACCAGATATTTTTATAATACTAACCCTTTCAAGTCCTCTGTTTTTTTCCTCTTTTTGAACATTTTTTCACATAAATTTCTTCTTTAAAAATTTTTTAGTTAGCATACAATACATTAAGTTTTATTGTGACATTTTTGTAAATGTGGATCAGTCTTTCTTATTATGTTCGCCTTCAATTACCCTTCCCATTTCATGGGCATGACTTTTAAGTAGAGGGTGGAACAACTTTGGCAACAGTATCTCCTCTCCGAATGAGTCTCAACGTCTGAGCTGATTTTCCAAGTCTCATTGTGGAGGTTTTGCCTTGAGTTGTATTACATGTGCCTCCTGCTTTATCCCACAGTTTCTGTAGGATATTTCATTTCCTGGCCTTCTGAGGAAGAAATGTCATATTTGATTACTTTTGGGTAAAAAGGACTGAGGGATTCAGGGTGGTACAGATCGTCTAGATTGCTTATAAATCTGGACAGAGTCAAAAGTACTAAGGGAAACCAGAAATTAGAACAGACTTTCCAAGTCACACAGTTTCCAGTCACGCACATAAAGAAATCATATCATGATTTTGATTTTTTTCTGGGATAGTCTGCCAAATTTCCTTGGGAAGCTAATGAATCTCCACTTCAAGCACTCTTCTGGTAGGTAATTAATTATTGCTCATAGCGAAATTTAATGCTGTCTTATGGTGGTCGATACACAAATCAGTGATTCACTTAGGCTTGGGTGATAGTAGAGCAAATCAGACTGAAATATTGACTCAACATTGCCGTGACCTGTGGCTTGTCGCCAATGTCCTCTGCTCCTCTGCTCTGGGTGGGATGGTAACAATAGTCCTAGCAGCTCTTCCCATGTGAAGCCCTATCTGGAGTTTCCAGAGCGCTTTCACATACATTGTCTCATTCTTTCCCTTGAACATATTCCAGAGCAGTTTCTGGACTTTTCTTCTACTGGGCATGACTGTTTTAGCAGAAATCAAAAGGGTATGTTCCCTTTAAAATCAACCTAAAATTGATTGACTTTAATTAATTTCATTAATTTTTGTTAATCATCTCTCTCATATATATGCATGTGTATGTATATATAGTCTGCTCAATTTACTGTCTTCTAAGTTGTATTTGTGTTTTTGAGAAGTTTATCTTTTTCTGTAGTAGCTGTATGTGGAGGCACACATTCTGAAATTTAACTCATATGATTACTGTTTGCCTTTGGATGAGTAGAAGTGGCCCAGTTTACTGACTTAATTCTATTTCTACAGTGACAACTGTCTTGAAAACAAACTATATACTTCAGCCTACCTCGGATGAGATATAACCTCTTGCTTTGTGCACTGGAATAAAGGACAAAGTAAGCAGGTGAGTCACTCTTTAATTGTTTACAGCTCCTTTTTATTTTCCCGAAGCTGTTATCATGCACAGAAGAAATTCTTAAGCCGCTAGGAAAATAGAAAAAGGAGCCAATTAAAAACTATAATAAACACCTTTGTCTCTTAATTATTTCTATTCCAGGCATATGATTTAGCAAATTTAAGCATAAAAAGATAATTTACTTCTAAAATATGGCTTCTAAGGCTCAAATCCAGTTCATCAAGCTTTCATGACAAGTACAATTACCTACCCACTAAGCTATTTTGCTAACTTGCAATTTACCTTTACACAAATCAATATCAAAATTGCACATCTTAACCCCTTTGTCCATTCCTGTACCAATATCTGGCACTAATTCTCACACCTTAGTTACTAACGTTTTATTATGCATTAGCGTTCCCAGAATCAAGTTTTCTCCTGGGTTTCCCTTGTGTGTTGGTGGCTGCTATAGCCTTTCTAGCTTTAAATATGTGTATCACTTAACATTTTGTTTGTGGCATCCTTCTTTATCCATCTAAGTCTATTTCACTATTTACCTAGTATAATGATTCTTAACCACCAGATGTTTTGATTTAGCTATGGGTGTAGGCATTTCACAAAACTTCCCCAGTAACCCTTTTATAAGGATTATTTAAAGAAAAACCAATTTAATGTTCAGAAAAGTTTTTTTCTGTTCACTGAAAATATCTCATAAAGGAAAAAAAAATCAGTAAGGTTATGCACTCACATATTAGTAGAACTCTGCTTTGGGAAGCATGATACACTATGGATTCTAAACTGCCTTTGAGTCTTGGCTTTCTTCCTTTTTTAATTTTTTAAAGTAAATTTATTCATCTATTTATCTTACACCTTTCCCTCCAAGCCCCTCCCCCACTTCCTTTTCCACTCCCCAAACCTCTCCTCCTTCATCTCAGTCCAGAAAAAGGCAGATCTCCCATGAGTATCAATAGAACATGGCATATCAAGTTGCAGTAAGACTAAGCACCTCCCCATGTATTAAGCCTGGGAAAGGCGACACAGTATGAGGAATAAGGTCCCAAAAGCAAACAAAAAAGTCAGAGGCAGCCCCTGCTCCCATATACAGAGTTTGGCTTTCTTTCTTGCCAAGTAAATGAACTTTAGGTAATTTCTCTCTGAGACTCATTTACTCTGTTTTGGTAAAATCTGTCTTAGCTCTGTCCTATGGTTATTGTGGAGATCAATAGAACTAAGGGGCACTACAAACTGTAAGGTTGTTACTATTATTCTGTATAATCTCTTTTTACCATTTAGTCAAGTAATAAATACTTATATAGTGTCTACTGTGTGACAGGCACTGTTTTAAGTATATTGAATGGAGCAGTAAATATAAGTGGGTACAATGATATCATAGTTACTTCTCTTTATTTAGAGGAAAAATTGTATACATGTTAATAAGAAAAGTATAACGTCTAAGAAATTCAAACATGCTATGGAGAATAATGAAACAGGAGGAGGATAGGAGGATTATGGCAATTCTGATTTTAAAATAGTGGCCAAAGAAACCCTCTTAAGGGATGATATATTAATAAAGACCTGAAAAATTAGAAAGATCCAGGCAAATGTGTATATTCAGGAGAAGATTCTTGACTTGAGAAGATATGAAGGCCTTTCACTGAAAATATCCCTGCTTAATTTGACAAATAGCAATGAGACCACTGTGGCTGCAGTGGATACAGTAAGGAGAAGAATTGTAGACCCCTTGGCTAAAGATAGCAGAGGAAGTTTAAGTAGCCAGATTCTATATGGTATCACCAGCCATTAAAAGGATTTCAGTTTTTTTGTAAGGAAAGGGAAAAGCTATTGAAAGAGTTGAAAATAATGACATCTAACATGTTTTAAAGGATCTGTTCTCCTATATTCTTCTCCTTTCTCATTCTCCCCCAAAAATGAAAAAAAAATGGCTAGATTACATCTGACTATGGAGGAATGGAAATTCTCTTTTACTGATTATGCTTTATATTCAAGCAATACAGAAAGTCAAAGCTAAAGGAACCCTTAAAAACACATCATTCTTTAGAGTTGCTGTATTTGAGAATCAACAGGTAAACTATGTAAGTTCCAGAAGCTCAGTTCGTACTTGGACTGATTATATCAGAACCTCAAGAGTAGTACCCAGGTATCCATATATTTTGAAGCCTCAGAAATAAAACTAAGAAGGAGGACCACTGGTCTGAAGTATTTATCATGATGACTGTGCAGCTTGACTCAGCACTGAGTAGCACTGTTACCTTTGGCAGAGCTGCCCCTGGGACCATTTACTCTAAGTAAAATAAGAAATAAAAAATGACAAATGGTGAATAGGAAGAAGGTAAGATGCTTGATAATACAGTGATCTGACAAAAGGAAGCTTAGCTAGAAATGGATCTGGGCCAGACCAGAAAAGAGAACTCTGAGAGGCACTGTCTCATCATTTACAGCAACATCTGACCTGCAGGCCAAACATCTGGAATTGATGAGGGCACTATCCAGACTAGAAGTTTGATGTCCAAGGAAAGAATTATTCTCAAGGCCAAGCTGAACCACTGCTCTGATTTTTGACAGCCCCGAGCACACGGGTGGTGACTGGGCTTCCATGAGAGGAATGGACAGGGAATGGGGCAGCTGCTATCTTCATCACCCTTTTTAAATCTCAGGACTTCTGTACTGCCCAGGCAAAACAAATAGCCTAAAGTCCTGAGTTCTTAATTTAGACTCGCCATCCTCCAAGTTCTACCCATCCTAGATAGAGACCATGCTTCATGCCACAGGCATTTCTGCAAGTTGAGAAGACCAACAGCCACAAATGGTGGCCAGAGGCAGCTGCACACCCAGCAGTGTGACAACCTTACACCCAACAGAAACGTAGCCAGCATCATTTATTCAGGGCACAGTGAGCTAATGTTAGATTATTATTAATGCCAAGCTTGTTGCTTTTCTTTTTCCTGTATGCCTGCATTAACTCTCTTCTAGGTTGTTTTCTGGGGAATTAGGACAATGGAAACAGGCTCACAGATTATGCAGATAGCAGATAGCACTAGTCACTTTTTAAGCCATTCCAGTGTTACTGGATAATTATTTCTGTGCACATGTTTAATAAAATATTAAGTTAATAATATCATATTAAGTACATATAAGTGTGCATACACATTGAATATGAAATTGGGGTGAAAAGTAGAATGAAATAAATCATTTGGACCAAGAGGATATTTGCGTATTTAACTTAAAAAATGAAGGTCACCTTTCTCCAAAAAATTGAAGCATAATTCATATAACATAAAATCGACTGATACACATTATAGCATACATTATATATTTTATTCCTATGAATAATGTTTTGTTGTATAGACATATCAAGCTCTGTTTATCAACTTTGTTTATAAGTTTATGGATGTTCAATTTTTTATTGTCTTTTATTATGAATATGCTGCTAGGAACATATATGTACCAGGTTGTGTGTGAACATGTGTTTTCACCTCTTAGCATATATCTTTAGGAATCTATGTTTAGGAAGAATTGTTATATTATAGATTAATACTGTTTCATATCTTAAAGAACCAATAAATCACTTTCTATAAATTTTAGAGTCTCAACAACAGTGTAAGGAATCCTTGTTTTTTACATCTTCCATGACAGTTGTTTATCCATATTTAAGAAAAATATATAGCCACCCTACTGTGTATAATGGAATATTTTTCTTATAATTTGAATTTGGATTCTGACTGAGCACACATTCGCGTGCTTGTTGGTCACTTGTCCTTTCTCAGAAGTGTCTGCTTAAAGGCTGAGCTTATTTTATGTTGTACTTTTTAAGTTTTGAGTTATAAGAATTCTAGTTATATTCTCGGTACAAGTATTTTTTTAGTTATGGTTTGAAAATTTTAGTTGGTTGGTGGTGGTGCATGCCTTTAATCCCAGCACTTTGGAGGCAGAGGCACGTGGATCTCTGTGAGTTGGAGGCCAGCCTGGTCTACAGAGTGAGTTTCAGGACAGTCAGAGCTGCACAGTGAAACCATGTCTCAAAAAACAAAAACAAACAAAAAAAAAAACAAAAACAGAAATGCTGTGAGCTTATTTTTTTATTTTATTAAACTTTCTTTTTATTTATTCTTTGTGTCTTTCAATTCATGTATCTCAATCCCTTTCATTTCCCATCCCTTTGTGTTTGGCCTCTGTCTTTGCAACCTTAGCCTCAAAATATAAAATTTAAGAGAAAGAAGAAAAAAGGAGAAAAGGAAAAATCTTGTTAAGGAAGTTGCAATGTGACACAGTGAGCCATGCAGTAAACCCTTTTATCTTTATATCTTTATTTCTAAGTGTTCATCACGAAGAGTCATTGGTCTGATTCTATGTCTCTGGTTTCTTCTGCACAATCGATGATGGACCTTCACTGGACCTCCTCTTGGATATCCTCTTGTTGCCCTGTGTCATGGCAATCCTGCAGCTTTGGGTCTGCAAGACCAACCCCTTCATGTGCTTCAGCAGATCATAGCTGGGGTGGAGGCTGGGCGGGGGCAACTCATAACCCTTATTCTGGGCCTGGATAGTGGCATGGTTGGTCAACCCTCCAGGTCTCCCTTGTTTTTACCACCAGGGTGAGCTCTCTAGCATTGCCCTGGCTAGTCCATTCCTTGCAATGCTGAGCAGGAGTCAGGCTCCTGGCCCATAAAGGTCAGCTCTGCCACTCTTAGACCTTCAGGACCAGCTCTATAGTGCTGTCCAGACGAGGTGTAGGGGGCACTCTGCCAAGTGTTGCAGCTGGTGAGGGGCAGGGAGAGTTCTCCCACCTTCATGACCTCAGGGCCAGATCTCACCTGCTACAGGCAGCAGGGTGTGGGGGGCATGTCTCACCATATGGTAGATGACGGGCAGGGCCGGATCCCCCATGCTCCCGATCTCGGGCAGTTCACTTGCCTCCCTGTCAATAGGGTCAGCTCTACTGTGCTGCTCATGTTGGGTGTAGGGTCTGTTTTCCCCGGAGTGCTGCCACT